GTCTATAATTAAACACGTCAATTTTTAGCCAAAATGCTATAGTCTCCTTCGGCTTTATCCTGTTTCTGTCCCTAATACCAAGTCTATGACATCCTATGCCCTGACCTCTTGTGTGCCAACCCACAAATGTTGTGGTTCTACTTGTGTTGACTACACTCACTTTAGAATTCTCCTCTTAGCCTCCGATTGCTCCTTTCTGGTCTTCTTGAGATTTCTTTTCTTAAAATTTAGGATTTTACTTTGATCCAGTCGTCTTCTTTTTGCTGATCTTCCCGTTGCCTGGTCTTCTCCGAGTTTGTATAAGCAATATACAATGTTTTCGCTGATCTTGTCTTCTTCTAGTCTATTGTTCACTAGATTTCTCTCGATCAGTATATCGATGGACTCTCGAATCTTACGGTTTTTCGTATTTTCACCATAGGCAGTCAGCCTTTCTGTCAATTTCGTTCGTGCAATGTGTTCCACTATTTCGGATCTTTCCGTATCCATGTTTTTGCAAAGTCTTTGATGTTCCTCGATTCATAGGCCGATTTTTCTTCCTAGTTCACCGACATACTTCCGCTCACAGTTGCAACATTTGATGCTATATACTTCTGAACAATCCAGTTTGCCAACCTTCTCGTGTTGCGTCGGCAGACTGGGGAAAAGTGTTGTCTTCTCCTTTGTTATCAACTTGATATTCCATTGCCTTAGTAACGGTCGCAATCTTTGGCTCAGTTGACAGGAGGACAGGCATAGCCACTACTGGTTAACCTCCTGATTCTTTATTTGATTTCCATAAAATCTGCTCTTTATGACTTGGTGAATAGCCCAGGGCAGAATGAAAGATATCACAATTGTTTGGCGGATAATTGTTTAAAGGATCAGCTTCAGTTGTCTATTTGGCGAGTGGTAATGTCGTGTTTAGAATGGCAAAGCTCACTGACGATGCCGACTACGATGCTGGCGAAACGTCTGGGAATGCGCCACGTCCATAGTTCGACACTGGAAATTATCATGCATACTTTTGACTCCGGATTAGGTGCGTTTCTCTAAGTCTTCCCACCAATATGACCAAGTGATTTTGATGTTTAACAGCAGCCAATTGACAAGCGGGCAGGAAAAAAAAGGGTGCGACAGAATGTAAGTCAAGAGCCCTGTACACGGCAGTTGGTACCGGTGGTAGAGATGATTGGGCTTCACTAAACCCATTCGTAGCGGCACGCTCTTGGGCAACATTGGAGAAAACGAGAGCACATAATTGTGTGAAGAAGTGGATGGGCCATATGGAGTGGGGTTGAGCGAAAGAGAAGCAGCTCTACAAAGTAGAGCAATAAATAGGGGCGAGGAATGATGCCAAAACGGTTGAACAGAAAATGTGTCAAAGGGGTTGTCTTCACTTGTCACTTTAATAAGTTGTAACTCTGAACTTACGATGGCGCCTCTCACTAACGATGCCGGCGAATCGTTTGGGAGTGTATCTGGCCAATGATCCAATGCTGGAAATCACGAATATTCTGGCAGCGGACACGGGACAAGGTGCGTTCCACAAGGTCTCCCTGACGCTCCGACCAATTTGCGAAAACAAGGTCCAAAAAGCACTTAAAAGTAACGCCTCTTCTCGGCCATCAAGGTCTGAGAATCACCATAATTTCCTACCAACCTATATTTTAACCGTCATCCCGATTGCGCAAGGTCGGACTCACGTCTGGTTATGTTGATGGGATTTTTTGTCCTCATGTTAGAAAGAAAGAGTGGGCTAAAAGTAGGAATGAATAAGATTTACAAATGCCGACATGATCAGAGCAGATGGGATGTTAAGCATGGATTTATATACAAAGCCAACACACGCTGGCTTTATCCTTAATTTCTTCTTCAACCTTTCTTACAAAACAAAGGTTGGAGTTTTACAATCTATGATTACTCCGAGCATAAGACTAGCCGATAGGGACCCTTCGGATAGTGAACTGGATCAGCTCAAGCTAATATTTCTTGAGAATAATTCTCCCCTAGGTCAGATTAAAAATAACATTAGAATAATAAAAAATACGTTTTTTCATGGTGAATACGTAAGGAAAAATAATGAGACCCTTTCCTATATTTTTCTCTTTGGCTTTGTGCATTCTGTTGAGCTTACTTCCATTTCGAGTGAATGTGTTGGGTGAGGAGATTCAAAGGTCGGTTCCACCAGAAGACGACGGCGGATTCCTCTTGACCAGCTGTTGATTGGCTTTACTGGAAGATTCATGCTGACGCTGTTTCCGAGGCAATCTCATTCGATTCCGGTGAAAAGGTGCTAAGCTTTCGTCCGTTATATGACGGACATCATCAGAGCGAGGTATCATAGTCACAACAAAATTCAAGCTAACGAGTCAAGAAAACTCACCGGCAAATCCCTAAAACGTC